TGATAACTAGCTTGAAACGGATCATAGAACTAAATGTAAACGCTGAAAGCACACGCCTTCCGGGAGAAAACTGCCACAACCGTGGGACGGGCAAGACTTTCTTAGACATGACACCACAGGTACAAATCATACAAGAAAAAATGTGATAAACCATCAAAATTTAAAACTTCTGTTCTTCAAAGACAATGCTAAGAAAATGAAATACAAGCCACAAACAGGAAGAAAATATTTGCAAAGCACTCTTGTGATGGACTCGTATCCGGAATACATGGAACTCTAAAAAATAACAAGAAAACAACCCAATTAAAAGGGCAAAAGATTTGAACAATTTACCAAAGAAGGAATAGAGCAGCCACCAAGCCCACGAAAAGTCCTCAACGCCGCTCTTCACGGACACGTAATCAAAACCACAGTGAAACAGTGCACACCTATGGGAGTAGAAACGTTAACTAGAGAATAAAAACTCAGACCTCAGGGCTGGGCAGGATACAAACACCTGCTGCTCTCACCCGCTGCTGGAGAGAAGGCGGACTGGGCAGCCACCTGGAGACACGGTTGGGTAGTTTCTAATGAAAGTAAACACACACCCTACAGTGGGCCCAGCAACCTCACTCCCACGTATTTATCTCAGAGTAAGAAACAGAAACATTCTCCACATAAAGACCTATCCAAGAATGCGTACGGTGACTTTATTCATAATTCCTGAGGATTAGACACAATCCAGCCAGTGGATGAGGCCACTGAGGTGCGTCTGTATGATGGAAATCCACGGGCAGTGGGAGGGGGCGACCTGGCTCACAGCCACACAGCGTAGGACCAGCGCGGTGGCAGAGGGCAGGTCCCTCCAGGGTTTGACTCACGTGGCCTCCTGGAAAAGGCAAAACGGTGGGAACAGGCCCCAGAGCAGTGGCTGCCAGGGGCTGCGGGCCAGGGTAGGAAATCCACCCCGAAGGAGTGTTCTGGGCTGTGGGAACGTATCTCAGCTGTGGTGCTATCTACACACCTGCATACGCTGCTGAAGGCTACACCTAAACACTGTACCTTATGTCAGTTGCAGACCACCTGATTTATACACAAAAGATGGAGGTCTCAGCAGGGCGCGGTGGCTCCTGCCTGTAATCCCAGCACTTTGGGAGGCCGAGGCGGGCGGATCATGAGGGCAGGAGATCGAGACCATCCTGGCTAACACGGTGAAACCCCGTCTCTACTAAAAATACAAAAAATTAGCCGGGCGTGGTTGCAGGCGCCTGTAATTCCAGCTACTGGGGAGGCTGAGGCAGGAGAATGGCGTGAACCCGGGAGGCGGAGCTTGTAGTGAGCCGAGATCACCCCACTGCACTCCAGCCTGGGCGACAGAGCGAGACTCCCTCTCAAAAAAAGAAGAAGAAGAAATGAATGGAGGTCTCACTGCACCCCCACCCCATTGGGAAGCCTCAGAGAGGCTCTAGGGGCTGGAGCGGCAAATGGAGGGGGACGTGGGGCTACCAGAGCCGCCCCGAGGAAGGTGGAGGCCTAGCGGGAAGAGGAGGGAGGCCCAGGATGGGGGGCGGAGACCCCGGTGCTCCTGGCTGACAGCAGTGAGCCAGGCCCGGGGCGTTTCCCGGTTCTCGCATCTGCTGGGAGCCATAGTTTCTGGTCTGTGCTCCGTGGGTGCAGCGCCCGGCAGCCGAGCCCAGGCAGAGGCCGCCTCCCTGCGCCTGGAAGCCTGAAGGCACCTGCGCCCCGGTGTCCCGCAGGCCGCGGCCCTGCGGCTGGGAGCCCGGCTTGACTGACAGTTGCCACCGGCAGCAGCGCTGTGGGCCGCGGACCGGGGACAGAGAAGGCCGGTCACGCCGCCCAGGGCCGGCCCACGCCGGACACTTCTTCCCTCTGCGCCTGCTGCCCCTGGGAGGCTTCCGACCTGCGGGAGCTGACTGCAGCCGGTGGAGGGGCGGGGTGGGCTGGGCAGGGCTGAGGGCGGGGCTTTATTTCCCGGAGTCTCCCGGCGGCTTCTGCTGCCTTTATCGGTTTGAGTCGCCACCGCCCTCCCCCTCCAGGCTAAAGATGCCCTCCCGGCCCCAACCCACACCCCCGACCCCATAGGAGTGCGTCCCCACCTGCCAGTGCACCCCTCACTCCTGGACCTGAACTTGCAACTGAGCACAGCTGTGGCCGCCCCAAGGAAACTCGCTGGCAGGTGGGGTTTCCTCAGGGCGTGGGCAGCTGCTAGAAACAAGAGAACCAGGAGAACCACGCAGCCAGGAAGCCAGTGGGCACCGCGCACTTCCACCCAGAAGCGCATTCCCCAGAACCTGGTGTTTCATGCCCAGTAACAACATAATTACCATCATAACGATAAATCGTTACCGGAGATCCAGACAGCCATCCATTTTCATGGCTGTAAACGCCATAGTGAAACATCTAAGTCCAGTCACCATAACCGTAAAGCCACCAAGAACTGCTAGCAGATGACGTCAACAGAACGATTAATAAACATCTTATTTGGTTATTTTCAGAGCACAAAACTCCGGAACTAACTTGATCAGTTTCTCTTACTAAAATGTGCAAAAAATTTTTTAAATTTCTTTTTCCTTAGGGTTATCACTCAAAAAATGTCTCATACACCTTCCAGAATGAATCAAGTCCCTGTGGATTCTCGCACATAAACTGAGCTGGTGATGAGGCCTGACACGTGGTGCCCAGCACAGGCTGAGCCCCGCCAGATACACCATTAGCCTCGGCTGAATAATCTGGATTCCACATCTCCCTTTCTTCCAGGAAAGCCCTTGGAGGCCCCTGGCAGTTGCTGAGAACACAGGAGCGAGACACAGGCATGCAGGGCTCTGGGAAGCTCCGTCCAGTGGACACAGCACAACAGGCAGAAGAACCACAACCAAGGAGGGTGGCAGGGGAGGCAGGCCACGGAGGGCAGCTGCAGGGTCAGAGGCCGTCTCCTGCAGCAGGCCCCAGTCCCGGAGGCGGGCATGGCAGGATGTGGGGATGGAGGAGGAGGTGCCTGAGGAGCGGGGTGCAGAGCAGCTGCGCCCAGAGGCAGGAGGGAGAACTGCCAGCCATTAGCCCTGGAGCCGATGCCCTGGTCAGAGGGAGAGAGGAAGAGGGAACCCTTCCTCAGCGCCCAAACAGCTTGAACGCGACTCGAAGCTATGGGCGTGAACCTGAGGGCCTCCCAGGCAGACACTGAGCAGTGGGGTGCAGGGGTCATGCTGGACCCTCACGACCATCTCACCAACAAGGCTACACGAGGCCCAGCACAGCAAGACCCTGAAGGGGTCCAGGTGCCCACCGCACTCAGGAGCACAAACACCTTCTGCAATCGCATTTCAGGGCCAGGGTGTCCGTTGCGGAAGCACCCGGCACAGCGTTCCTGCTCAAAATGAAGTCAAATGTCAATGATCTGAGATCCATGTGACCCATTCCATGTATTTTCTAAACAAACTCTGGAGACTTCTATGAAAAGCACAGCAGTTTCTAAGAATAATCATTTGGGTACAGCGAATAACAGTCCCAAAAATGTCCAGGTCCTGATCCATGCAATGGTGAGGGGGCACAGGCCTTATCAAAGCCAGGTGAGGGTCTGCCCAGCCCCAAGGGCCTCTGGGGTCACAGCTGCCACCCAGCCAAACCCATCTCAACGCCAGGCAGAGCGCGAGACCGGTCAGGATGGGCGTCTGTCTCCTTGTCTCTGTCAGGGGACTTGCCACGGAGGCCTGGGACACAGCAGAGTGCAGACAGGAGTCTACCAGTTACCCGCTAGCCAGTTTCTCTCATGCCCTCTCTCTCCCTCAATGTCGTGCTGACATGCACTAGCTGCCGGCCGTCCAGTGGGGACAGGCTGGGCTTTAGGACACTCAAGCTCTGACGTGGACCTTTGGCTGTGCCTCTCACGCTTCTGTGTGCCAAGCACCGGGAATGGATCAGATCACAGATCCTGGACCACAGCTCACAAACAGAGGGACATGGATGATGAGGAAAGCCCACAACTGAGGGACACCGGTGAGCGCTGGGGAAAGGGGGCAGCTGGCGTGGGACGGAGAGGCCATGATGCGGTATGGGGAGCCAGTGTGAGCAGTGAGCGTCAGATGGACGCGCCCCCCACCCCCTGCACAGCACCCTCGTGGCCTCGCTGGCCTCCTGCACTTGTGGACCCTCAGGCTGCTTGGGGCGGAGCTTGGGGTCCTCCTGGGGGACTCCTCCTCCCGCCCTATCCCACTCAGCATTCCGGCAGCCAGGGAGACGAGGAGCCTGCACCACCCGGGGTCTGGGCTCAGGCTGTGGCAGCCAGTACACACTGGCTCCCCGGCCACCCGTCCTGGGCATGAGCTCAGGTGCTGCAGGACCCTCCTCCTTTCCTGGCTCTCCCGGCGACTCGGCGGGAATTAGCCTGATACCCCAGCCTCCCACGCCTGCTGCGTGAGGTCCGCTCCTGATGGGGTCCTCTGGCTGCATTTAGGAACAAGGAGCTCCCTGAGTAACCTGAAGTCCACTCTGCCAAGAGGCCCCACAACTTACAGGACGCTGCCTTCCTGCGATCCCCGGCAGGGCTGCCCATGAGCTTTCTCCAAGAAAACCGGGGGAAACTGAGCCCACACGCCCCCACCCCCACCCGCCCTTCCCGTGCCCACACTGTGGGGACTGAAGTTAGGACAGGGACAGCCAGGATGTGGTGAGGAGGGAGGGCCCCACGTCCACGCAAAGGTCCCCCCCACGGATGCCCTGGGGAGAAGCCCTGGGAAGTTGTCTGAAGAGGGTCGGGGACGCTGTGCTCTCGCCTTGAGGGGCCACGGAAGCCTCGACTGGCAGCCCTCACTGACCTGAGCCTGGCGTGGTGCTCCAGGAGGTGCACCAGACGCCAGGCCAGATCCCGAGAGCAGATCAGGAGGAACAGCCAGGGCTGCCGTAACCCCTCAGCACCATCCCGCCAGGCTCCGGGCTGAAATGCTAACACTCCCCTGGCACAGAACAGGCGGAAAAGGGGAAGTCAATGCTCATTCATCACCTACCTATGATGGAATCCCTCCGGAAAACGTCTCTATCGAAAATGTAGAAGGACAGGTGACGAAAGCTCCGAGGAATTTCACAGTAAAAGTCTTCTCCGTAAAAGGGGCTGGAGAGAAAGAAAAGCACCAGTTAGAACACAAGCCACGCTCCCCGCCTCAGCCCCAGGGGCACACACATGTGCTCTTAGTTTTAAACGTGCCATGAGAATGCCCTGCAGTGCGTGGCACGTGTGAGACATGAACCTGCAGCTCCCTGTGGGGTGAAGGGTGTTGTGGCTGCATCCCAGCCTCTACCTCGAGCCTTTGCACTGCACGGATGAACTGTAACTGGGCTGCCTGGCAGTCCAGGACGCTGAGAGACCTCTGCAGAGACCATGGTCACTGCCTGAATGACTTCCATGGTACGTGCTCAGGTCTAGGTCCAGCCTCAGGGACACTGTGATGTTTTGAAGGTACCTGGTTTGGGGCAGGTGGTGGCTCCCTTTATGGATTGAATGTAAAACACAGCACTCCAGTGCCTTGCCCGGTTCCTTTTATCCAGAGATCCAGTACAAAGTCCTGACTGCCCAGCCGTCCTCACTCCTGGGGAAGGCCCCCGCGGCTGACTGTGCTTACAGAGTGCACGGCTCAGGCTACCCACGCGTGAGTCACCCGGAGATGCAGCCGCCCCACAGAGGGAGACTTCAAATAACTGCAACCCCAATAAAGAAGCAGAAGCCAACAGGCTTTGCCATTCAGCAAACCCCCCTGCTGTCCTGGGCCGGCACAGGTGGGGTTAGGTTCCTCCCTGTGCCGGACCTGTTGGCGATTACTATGGTGCACGCACAGCTACCAACTCAGAACTCAACACAAGCCTACTTTCACACACATTTATGCTAAGGTCCAAAATAGGAAAGATGTAAGTTATTCAAGGAGGAACCATTCCGATAGAGAGCAAAGGAAGGTCAACGGTGCTGGGCCAGGTGATCGTCCACACAGTCACCAATGGCGCAGGCCCCACCCCAGCCACAGGCAGAAATGAACTCAGACCCCGCACCCATGTGTAAGGGTGTAAGGGTTGGAGCTCCCAGCCTCTGAGAAGAAAACGGGGATGAACCTGCACCCAAAGATGTCTTAGATCTGTCACCCAAAGCACAAGTGCCAAAAGAAAAATAAATGAAAAATCAGACTTCCATCAAAATTAAAAACACTAAAATCTTTTTTGCATTAAAAGCGTTATTTAAAAAGTGAAAAGGGCCAGTGCGGTGGCTCACGCCTGTACTCCCAGCGCTTTGGGAGGCTGAGGTGGACGAATCACCTAAGATCAGGAGTTCGAGACCAGCCTGGCCAACACGGCAAAACCCCGTCTCTACTAAAAATACAAATATTAGCAGGGCGTGGTGGTGGGTGCCTGTAATTCCCAGCTACTCGGGAGGCTAAGGCAGGAGAATCGCTTGAACCCGGGAGGCGGAGGTTGCAGTGAGCCGAGATTGCACCACTGCACTCCAGCCTGGGTGACAAGAGCAAAACTCAGTCTCAAAAAAAAAATAAAAATGTAAAAAATTACAAGTGAAAAGACAGACTAGAAAAAATATTAGCATGTCAGTTATCTGATAAAGGACTTGTATCCAGAATATATAAAGAACTCTTTTTTTTTTTTTTTTTTTTTTTTTTTTGAGACGGAGTCTCCCTCTGTCGCCCAGGCTGGAGGGCAGTGGCCGGATCTCCGCTCCGCCTCCCGGGTTTACGCCATTCTCCCGCCTCAGCCTCCCGAGTAGCTGGGACTACAGGCGCCCGCCATCTAGCCCGGCTAGTTTTTTGTGCTTCTTTTTAGTAGAGACGGGGTTTCACCGTGTTAGCCAGGATGGTCTCGATCTCCTGACCTCGTGATCCGCCCGTCTCGGCCTCCCAAAGTGCTGGGATTACAGGCGTGAGCCACCGCGCCCGGCTAAAGAACTCTTATAACTCAATAAATGATGACAAATAATTCAATTTAAAAAGGGGCAAAAGATCTGAACACACATATCACCAAAGAAGACAAATGACCAACAATGTATTAAAAATGCTCCATGTCATTAGCCCTTGAGAAAATGCAAATTAAACCAGGAGATACAGCACAGGCAGAGGCCCAAACCTCGGGCCGCGAGCGTTGCTGCCCGGAGCCCAGGCCCCAGCCCCTCCCTCTGCAGCGGCCTTGATAACAGGCATTTCATTTGGATTTCACTGATTTCATAATTTTTATAACTGGGTCAGAGACTGAGTAACGTTTACTCAAAAAACCATTTTTTGTCATAAAATGTGTCATAAGATTGTGTCTTCCAAAGGAGGCCTAAAATACCTACATTGTTGTAAGCATTTTGGAAACACAGCAGTATCCATTTACACACAAAAGAAACATCTCTTTATCTTTCAATGAAGGCAGAATGCTCAGGGACTTCCACCGACTTCCTTGTAGCAGAATCCTGGTTCATGAAGGCCCATTAGAAAGTCACATTTCCTTTAAACACATTCTCACGTTGGTCGTTGTCGCAGGCGCTCGAGTGCCTCTGATTTTCCTGGGTCTGCCTGGGCACCGCCGAGATCTGATGTCAGGGACCCCCAGGGAGAAACACCCTGTGCCCGTGGTGTGTGCCCATAGGCACGTGTGTGGGTGTGTGCATGTGTGTGCCCATGGGTGTGTTCCCACAGGCACGTGTGTGGGTGTGTGCACGTGTGTGCCCGTGGGTGTGTGTGTCCACAGGCACGTGTGCGTGTTCATGTGTGCCCGTGGGTGTGTGTGCCCACAGGCACGTGTGTGGGTGTGTGCATGTGTGTGCCCATGGGTGTGTTCCCACAGGCACGTGTGTGGGTGTGTGCATGTGTGTGCCCATGGGTGTGTTCCCACAGGCACGTGTGTGGGTGTGTGCACGTGTGTGCCCGTGGGTGTGTGTCCACAGGCACGTGTGTGTGTTCATGTGTGCCCGTGGGTGTGTGTTCCCACAGGCACGTTTGTGTGTGCACGTGTGTGCCCGTACGTGTGTCCCCACAGGCATGTGTGCGTGTTTGTGCGTGCAGGCATGCACCCGGAGCACTTGGGTCACACGTACACAAAGGCACCACAGATGCGCCCCGCACAATGCGCTGCTTTCATGACAAGGCGAGGGGTTGTCACCCCGCCCCCACACTGTGTAGTCACAGCTGCAGGATCTCGGGGCAGGACGCACACTCCCCGGGCAGCGCCCTGCGGCCTCCCCGGAGAAGCTTGGTGCTCTGCAGACAGCGTCCCCACTGGCAGGAAAAACCACTGTCAACCTCAAAGCCAAAAGGGACACCAAACGCGCATTTTAATATTCACGACAAGGTCTCAGGCGACGAGCTACTCACAGGACACGCGTTAACAATTAATAGTAATTCACAAAACATTTGAGGTTTTTACAACAACAAGACGGCCTCTTCTGTACATCCCAGAGCAACTTTCAGGGCCACTGAGGCCGAAGCGACGGCACGAAGCCGTGGTGCCTGAATGCGCGGACACAGCCTGGACTCAGTGTTTCCAGTCCCGCTCGCTCCCGGCAGAGCCCGAAGAAACAAGGGTTGGAGGCTTCGCTTACTGCTCCAGAATGGCAGGTGCCCAGGCTGTCCCGGCCGTGGCGCATCTCACGCGAGAAGCCCAGCGGGAGCACGCACAGCTCCTGGCCTCGCGGCAAATGCGTAACCAAAAGGTGTAAATCAAGCTTCATTCACCACGGAGCAACCTCAGAACCACAGGCACCGACAGCCAAGCTGCCCGAGAATGGAACGGACGCCCTCCACTGGCACACACTCCAGCAGCTGGCTTGTCAGGAAGCTGTGGCAGCTTCAGAGCAACCCAGGGCTCGGGGTTCACCTGGCCACCTCGCCGTGAGAGGGTGTCACGCTTCCCAAGAGCCCCCCACCCCCCACACAGACACTGAGGACCCCACCACGTGGGCCTGTGCCTGCGTCGCAGGAACGCGGGGAGGAGGAAGTGGGTCAGGCTGGACTGCAATGTCTGATGTGGTGTCCAACGTGTGTCCAGTGCGTGTCCAATGCGTGTCGTGCGTGTCCGGTGCGTGTCTGATGTGTGTCCGGTGAATGTTCGGTGCACGTCCAGTGCGTGTCCGGTGCGTGTCCGATGCATATTCGGTGCGTGTCCGGTGCGTGTCCGATGCGTGTCCAGTGTGTGTCCAATGCATACTCAGTGCGTGTCCGGTGTGTGGTGAGGGTTGGTGAGATGAAGATGCCAGCGTTGAGCACACCCCACACACAGGCGCTGTGCACCTGGCCTTTGACCCTGCACACTTCCTCACCGTCCCAATGCACAGGGTAGGAAACCGAGGCACTCCGACATCTGATGAAACTATCCCAGGGATCGTGCCGTGACTCAGGCCATGCTGTGTTGCTATAAACCGCTTTTACGTTTAGAAAGGGGCACGTCCAGTCTGATAATTTCACGGAGTTCGTGTGTTTTCTTGTAGCTTCCTCTTTCTGCTATTTTTATCTCTTTTTATTGAATGGATTTCTGGTTTATTTATGAATTTTAAACACCTCAATTTCCATGGACAGGTGTCAGCACCACCAGAAGCCTCACGGGACCCTTCCAGGTGCCCAGCCAGCAGCCTCTGCCCTGAGCCCCCGCCCCCCGAACCCCCACCGCCAAGCAGAGTCACAGTGAGAGGAGTCACTTGGCAGAGCAACGGAACACCACTCTACCGGGCAGCGCCCAGGGACACCGCGCCTCAGCCCCGCTGCCCAAGCCCTGCCGCACTACCCCCGGGGAGCACGACTTCTTCCGGCCTCCACCCAGCAATTTCTCGAGCAATGGCTTCGGAAACCTTGCTCCGGAATGGCAGAAGGGAGGCAGCGCTTTGGGGTCCTCTCTGCCCCCCTGCTAAGAGGAGCTTGGTTCTCGGGAACCTCGCGGTCCCCCCTCCTGAAGAAGAGGAACGTCGCACTCACATTTCCATTTTACACCTTTGCAGCCGAGAACGCTGGAGCCACAATGGGCTCCAGCAAAGGCGATGGTGAGCGTTTTACATTTCTGATGTCGTTTACTCTACCGGCTCCAGTTGCCTATTTTCACGTTTTCCCCCTTATTTCGTATAACTCTTTAAACTTAATAAAGTTATGA